TTTTATATAATATATTAATTATATGTAAATATAAGTTTTTAAAGTAAATTACACCGGTATTACTATTTCTCGGTTAATACTTTGAATGTTTAAGTTTTTAGAGTAAATAATATAATATATTAATTATATGTAAATAATGTTTAAGTTGGTATTACTATTTTCATGTTAATACTTTGAATGTTTCGAGGTTTAATATTACATTAATCAATCTTTTTCTAAAATTTAATAGTCTAAAAACAAATCATTTGGATTTACAAATTTTTTACAATATTATAGCATCTTCAACATATTCTTCAAAAATTTTCCAAAAAATGGATAATTAAAACTCTATTAAAACCAGGGCTCGAGCTCCCCGCCCCAACCAATCTTCCATTGGTAGGGAAGTCATTTCGATCTAATCCATTATTGGGGTCAAATAAAGACAAAAAAGAATATGTCAGTAACCTATAAACCATTAATATTAAGGATTCTTATCGGTGTGAATATGATAAAAAAAATGATTTTCTCTCATTGTAATCAATTGTTGTTTACACTCTCTCATGTTTTCTTCGTTTTGGAGAATTTTGGAGAGTCTGTTTGAGCAAAAATATGCCTAAAATCTCCATTTTCTCAATTTTGAAAAATCTAGTGAAGATGCTCTTATATTTCGGCCCCCCGGACTACAACGGTTGTGTTCCGCCCCTGCCCTTGGCCCCTCACAAGTGATGTGGCCCCTCCGCAAGCACTTGAGTTTTTTAGAAAAAATGCCTCCTCCACAAGTTGCGTCTTGGACACTTGTGGAGGTGTTGATTTTCTTGAAAAAATGGAAGAGGAATGACTAAGAGGTAAATTTGGTCGATCAAAATGGTTATTTTTGTTAATTTCCCGCAATAATAAGGTGTCTCCGTCTGGATAAGGGAGTTGTAATTGCTATTTTTTCTTCATGAGCATATACCAAATTTCATAAAGATATGGGCCATGTTATAGTCAAGATATTGACTCGAGTCATGTTCGTAAACCATACGGCATTATTGAGAAGACAATTGACTTATAAAGTTGTTGTTATTTGGACCTTTCATGGAATTAATGCTTAATTATTCGTCATCGAATATATTCGTTGCTGATATAATAAAATCTAATACTTTTGTAATAATTGGAAGATTTTCATGATGGATTTAGTGGGTGATGGACCCACTGCCAGTGTTGGTGATCCCACTGTAAAATCAATCTTTGGCTAAGACTTTAGCAACAATGCACTTCCGCCTCTAATGGGTTTTATTGGCGGATTGATCCGTTGGTGAAGGTGCCCAACTTTGCAATAAAATATAATATATAAAACGAAAATAGTTTTTTTAGTGCCTAGTGGTATCTTTTTAATGTTTACCTATACCTTTCTTCTACCTTCGCTCAGAGAAGAATTCCAAATCTTTACAATATAAACAATTAAGGAGATTTAAAATCTATCGTTCACGATTATTACATGAAAATCGCTTGATATTAATATGAATAGTTTATTTGAAACATGTATTTTTTTTTATTAACTTGGATATCCAACCCGCTATGCGAGCCGACTAATCCCAGAACGACCACCTGCTTTGCAGATAGCCTGGAGTCACCGCATTTAAATCTCCGTGGCTATAAAGAAATTTTTATTTCTACTTAGATGAAACATGTATTTTGTCGTACAGACAAATTTAGGAATTAGCATATGTTTTATGGACACAAGTGGGAGAAAAGAAAAACACATGAAAGAAGCCCAATTTAGAAAGACCTTCACTTTTTATCCATAAATAGCTACTAGGCCCATAAGATATGCAAGCTCATGACAGGTTGGATCTGATTCTGATAACAAACAACCTACAAAGGTTTTGGCCCAAAATCCTCTAATTTCCATCTACATTTTCTTGTTTTCATGCCTCTATTTAGCAACAAAAAAAAAATATTATTGTTTAATTGTCTGTTTATAATGTTGTGATTATTGACCAACTGCTAAAAATAGCTTCATACGACCTTAAACAAGCGACAATTTGTGAGGTATTATCATCTTTTAAAGCTAGCATGTGTAAACACTTTGTGTATTTGCGTTTGTTTTGCTTCAATGTGGTCGTGACTCTCTCATTTCATTCGTTTCAGGGGAATAATTGTCATAGCAATAGTCAAATACCATACCACTGATATATTTTTGGTTTTTGAAAAGCTAGCTATCTTAATTAGTAAACTACATTTTTCATTCTCTACATTCTTGTTGTTTTCGTCTCCAAATTATGATTTTTTGCAATAATTTCGACCCTAGCTCCATGCCATCATTGAAGTGAGGTTTTCCTGACTTCAAGAAAATTAACGGGTCCACCAAGTTAATTAACATTTTAGATGGTTGTTATTGTTTTGTAGAAATCCTTAGAGCCGATTCGTATTATTTTACCATCGGATGGTCATTATTCTATCAATATAATTGTTTTATAGAAACTAACTTCAATTTCACCACGACTTACCAATTTTCATATAAAATGAAACTTTGATTTGTACGTGTTTGGTTTTACCATGGAACACCGGATTCTTAGTTAGAGCTATTATCACAATATATCACCGCAAGCTCCTTTTGATAATGCTTGAGCTCTTCGAGAATTCCTCTCATTCAAATGGCTTGACATCCAACTAAAGAAACACACATATACTTTGCTTTTGTCATGGATAAAGCCACCACCTTTTGTTTCTTCTATTGCCAGGAAATGGCACCAGATCCCATGCTAAACACGTAACAAGAAGTACTCTTGTTATCATACATACTTCCACCATAATCACTATCCCCAGATGCGATCACTGATTTTATAACAAATTCCATGTTAAACGTTCCTGTTATATACCTTAGTATCCTCTTCCCAACCTCCTAATGACTTTGCTTGGGGGCTTCCATAACCAGCTGATCAGACTCTTACAGATGTAATGTCTGGTCTAGTGGTTGATAAATACATCAAGCTGCCTACTAGACTTCTAAACAGACTAGAATCAACTTCATTTTCCCTTGCATCCTTCAACATTTTTAATCCAAACTCCATTGGTGTTGAACTTGCATCAGCCTTATCCATATGAAATTCTTTAACACATCTTGGGCATATTTCTTTTGTGAAATAGTAATAATATTTTCACGTTGCTTAACCTCAATACCCATAAAGTAATGAAGTAAACCAAGATCGGTCATCTCAAATTCGATCTTCATGGACCTCTTGAATCCTTTGATTAGACTAGAACCATTTCCAATAAAAAAATAAAGCATCAACATAATAGCAAACTAACAGAAAGTCACCTTCAGAATCCTTGAAGAGAGTCTGTTCGAATGGACATTTTCTAAAACCATTCTTGATAAAGTATCCATCCATACGACTATACCAAGCACGAGTTTTGAGCAGAGTGATTTGATGCCGGTAGAGGTATTTTTGGGAGAAATAACTTTTATTACCTGGCGTCATATTTTGAAAGACCCGGTTTACATAAATGATAAAAGGTTTGTAATACCTCATTTCTATAAATGATAAACAAACCACCAAAAGTTATATTTTTAAACATTTAGAAAGCAAACGAGATATAATATTTACGAGTTTCTAATTTGAAATGTCCGCTTGGTTCACAGGACGTTTCCGTAAGCACCTGTTTTCCAAAATA